AGCGGGAAGCCTTTTGATTGGTTGCCCGAGGGCGAAAAGGGTGGGAGAGAAAGATGGAGGTGGGGGGGAAGTCCGTGCGTAAAGCGCGGGAGCCCAAGGCTTCTTGCCGCCTGAGCCGAATAGAGACGCCGGAATTTGTTGCCCGGGGCGCAGCAGTCAACAGCAGAAGGGAGTGTTGTTCCCTGCCGGGAGCCTGTTGGGAGACTCGCAACTGCTCAAGTGGAATCATGGAAACGCCAGTGGGGAATCGCCCGTCATTAACGAGCTGCTGTTGGCGTCCCTGATCATGAGCCAGTCACATGACTTGGGGGGAATGAATAACCAGGGAGCCGCAACTCTCTAATTAGCAACCAGGGGCCACTGCAGTTTGCGGTTACAAACCGGCGCTGGTGTAAATCGCCATAAACCATCCCCGGCAGGAAAAAAACAGCACACACCAATTAAAAAGCCAAGAGCTTATGATGTTTCAGCACACGACAGACGCGCTCCCCAAGGTAGATGCCTCACTCTGCCTCATGGTAGAGACGGGTCCTGCTTGGAATATAGCTCTTCACCCCACCGGAGGTAGCTCAAGAGTTCTAGATCTCTCTTCGAGGTAGCTCAAGAGTTCTAGATCTCTCTTCTGCCCTCTTATTGTCACCCCCACACCCCAGTTTCTGTCATCTGAGACAACGGCCTCATTCTGCCCCATAGTGGGGCATGGTTCTGGATTTCCCTCTAACAAGCGAAGAAGTGTCAGAGTTCAAGCTTCCCCGAAGTATCTCTCCCACACCCCCAAAAGCAAACCATAAGCACATTTCAAACAGGTGAGCCGCTGGTGATGTGTAGGGTAGCCAAATGTCCTGCTTGACACAGTTGTTTGTTGCATGCCACCAAGTCCAAACCAATTCATAGCAACTCAAACAGGGCTTTCAAGGTAAGTGAGATATTTAAGGAGAGTTTTACCAGTTCCACACACACACACACACACCTGTGAACTTCCATTGTTCACTGAACCGGGATTTAAACCCAAGCCTCCTGAGTATTAGCCCTACACTCTATCCACGTGAACTTCCATTGTTCACTGAACAGGGATTTGAACCCAAGCCTGAGTATTAGCCCTACACTCTATCCACTACACCACACTGAATGTCCCACTTTACAAAGTACCACCCTGTATTTCAAGGGAGCATCCAAAGAGCTGCCTAATTCAAACCCAGTCCAAATACAATATTTAAAAAAAAAAACTTAGGGTAAAGCTTACATAATTAGCACTTAGTCACCAGGCTGTGCAGGTACACATCACCTGGTCAGATTCTGCCCTGCTATGGTGAGATGTATTGCATTTCCTGTTAAAACTGAGCCTTCTATTTAAAGGAAGTCTTTCTAAATATACCTCCATGGATGCAAATAAACATATGAACGTTTCGTGCAAATCTGTGCAATTCCCCCCCTTTTTTTCCCTTGGGGAGGGTGTATTAGTATGTTCGTGGCGTAGCTGTTAGTGCAGTGAATTTGACACTGAATTATGCTCAGTCTTACAATCTCCTGGGGTTGTGAGAATAAAACAGAGGCATGCATGCTTCAGAACTTAGAAAGATGGGTAGGATGAAAACGTGATTTTTAAAAGAAAGAATATTCTGCTAATTACTCAGATACACTTGCTTTCTTATAAACTAACTCAGCTGAGGACTATTTAATCTGGCACATACTCTATGGATCAGTGGCCAGAATCCTACTGATAGCTTGGACAAAGGTGTAAGTCATGGCCACAAAGTTTAGCAAGTACTGGTTGTGTTCCTGGATATAAACCCTGGGGACAAGCCCAGGAACACAACCAGCACTTGGTTAATGACTGGCAACTTGCCACCATGCTTTATGCCATTTCCTTACGCACCTGTGATTCACCAGTAAGATTCTGGCCAGTGCATGCACCATGTAGTAAGATGAACTCTAGTACTATTTAAGTTGGAAACAGGTGTGCCCAACACATCAAATGCAACACATCAAATGCAACACATACCACACAGAATTAAACAAACACTCAAAAATCACAAGGAGAAGGACGCGTCCAGATTGGCCTCTCTTCTTCATTCCTCCCATCTCTCCAACATTAAATTAATATCTTCCCCTTCCTGGATTCACATCCTTTCTGTCTCAAGTGCTGTGTTTTGTAACTAGTCTATTGGATTGTCCCACTGCCTTATATTCTATGCCACTCTAAGATCAGGGTCATAAGATCGAATCCACGCGACGGAGTGAACGCCCGTCGCTTGTCCCAGCTCCCGCCAACCTAGCGGTTCGAAAGCATGCAAATGCAAGTAGATAAAGAGGGACCACCTGGGTGGGAAAGTAACAGTGTTCCGTGTCTAAGTCGCACTGGCCATGTGACCACGGAAGATTGTCTTCGGACAAAACGCTGGCTCTATGGCTTGGAGACGGGGATGAGCACCGCCCCCTAGAGCTGAACACGACTGGACAAAAATTGTCAAGGGGAACCTTTACCTTTACCTAAGATCAGGGTACTGTATAAATGCAATAAACAAAAACAGTCAAATCTTAGAATTTAGTATCCAACCGAAGCTGTATTGGGACTTGGTCCCCACCCCATCCCCAGCTGCTGCCAGCTGCTGGGGTGCCCCAAGTGCAATCCTGAGGGTTTCCCAGGTCTCCCCAGCCGGCTTCCGGCGTGCATGCAGGGAAGGATTGGGGATTTGAGCAGAATTAGCGCCATGGAATTATGCCATTCCATCTTAGGTATCCTAGGTTTAACAGGGTTAAACACCATTTTTAAACAAAGTGATACAAAAATAAGCATCATCTGGCTTTAGTTAGAAACTGAGCTGGATCTCAGCTTGGAAGAAAAGATCCTTGCCTTCAAAGAGAAAGATGCCAGAGAGAAGGCCAGTCTAGAATCTGCCAAGACCACCAAAGACTGGAAAAGTTTCACCCACCGAATCCAAGCTTAACACTCTCCTTTCTTGGGATGGGGACTCAAGTGACGGGACTTACTCTCAAGTCAGACTAAAGTTCCACCAGAGACTCAACGCTGAATTTTTTTTTCAATAACTTCAACTCCACCCATGGTTTGAAACCAAACCTTCCCTTCCCTTTTGT